ATCTGCAGCATCCTCGACACTCACACCCACGATCCCACCATCTACTGACAGTGTCTGTCCATAGGACTGTGAACCAGCCCTTAAGACATTAGTCCAAAGACAAATGATACATTGGCAAATAAGTGGCAAAGAGGCTACTTCACAGTGACATTAAGGGCATAGTCAGGTTGGCAGTGCCTTTCTGGATGGAGGTTTGCCTGTGAATGTGTCTGTTGATTTCATAATCTCAGCAAGCCTTTCATGTGCATGGATAACAAGTTTACCCAGGGAGGCAACCAGAGATTTTCCTAATGTTCTCCTTCTAAACGCAGCTTAAATTTCGTCTCACTCAGGAAGTCCTCATGACCAAAAGTCCTCCAGTTTTTCCGGCTTGAGCTGTACCAATCCGTGCCATTCTGAGTACAATAAGAACAGGGATTTTGTCTTTTATATCTGATTCACCAAGTATTGAGTAACCCTATATGTCAAACTCTATGTTAAAGGTAAGGAAAAGAAAGCAGGATACTGCTACGCTCTACAATTTTCAGTAACGTGTAACTTTTACAGATTTCACTTCTCAAAACAAAAAGTCCCACTGATTCACTATTTGCAGTACATTCTCTTATAAACTGACTCTTCATTTGATTGTAAACTATTCTCCCACTTCCTATCTGTGCTTTTCATTCTTCTTATTGAAATTAGACTTACTGTTTGTATATATTGGAAAACACCCAGCTGCGAGAAGAAGAGACCACATAAAAATGAGTTAATCATCAGGTCTCCTGTCTAGAGAAACTTATGTATTTAAAACAAAAGAATGTTTCCTTTAATTCATAAGGGAAAAGAATAAAGTCAACCCACAACTGGTTATTGTGATCATTCTCCATCAGTGGATGTTGTATTGAAATCTTCTTTTTCCATCTATCTGTCCTGAAAGTTTGTGAGTGACTTGGGCACAAGGGCCCTCCTTATTACTTTTTAAATTTTGAGAACATGTCACATAGCAGACCTTCATCTCAAGTTTGCTGAAGTATGTTTTTATCTGTCCTTATTAGTAGTAGTGAAAGTCACTCAGAGGTGTCCAGTCGACTCTTTGTGACTGTATAGTCCATGGAATTCTCCAGGCCAGAATACTGGAGTGGGTAGCTTTTCCCTTCTCCAGGGAATCTTCCCAACTGAGGGATCCAAACCCAGATCTCTTGCATTTACACTTGTAAATGAGGCTCAAAATCTTGGCTCTCCCCCACCTACCCTCAAGATCAGGACTGCTAGGGGAGCTTTATTCAAATAACAACGACAATTTTAGATGCAATAAATTGGATAGCACACCATTGATTCAATAACAGATTAACTTGGGGGCAGAAAGAGAGTCACTACATCTGTAAGCAACTACCATAAACACATCCTGATTTCAAGAAAGTTAAATTTTCAAAGTATGTGAGGAAATCCTGTCATTGTCCTTGACTGGACTTCTGGTCTCAAAATCAGAGCAGTCTCTTGGCTCTGTTACGTCAGCCGACAATTCTTCAATGCTGCTTATATGCCCTCAACTCATTCTTCTCTTCCTCCAGCGCTTTTTCTGAGACCATTGATAACTTCCAAATATTTGCGTTATTGTTTTCTTGGATTTCCATTTCCTTGTATAAACCCTCCTCTTTGAGTTCTTCCCTGCCTTTTACAGCCTCCCATTGTCCTCAGGTCCCTGCCTCTGAGGCGCTTTCCTTCTTCCATGATGCTCACTCACCTTTTCCTTGGTGTGGGTGCCCCAGGCTCATCCCCTTCTTCTTTCAGTCCTCACAAGTCATTCTCAGCCCTGACTGATCATCAGAATCACTTGAAGAGCCTTCTGGAAAGATTCAAGCCCAGATCCCAACTCAGACCTGTGGAATCAGTCAACTTGGACCGAGATATTAGTTCTGTAACCCGTATTTGTGTACCTTACTTAGCATCTAAAGCTCAATTTCTTCTCCTGTAAAATTAAGATAATGCTAAAAATCTCTTTTGTCCAATCTCTGAATACATTCTTACTCCTCGTTGTCACAGCAAACATCATCACTTCTCATTTATTTGAAGCCTGCGTTCCTTTGAAAGCTAAACTCAAATCCTTTCCTTCTCACAACCCTCCACCATCACAACTGATTTTGGATTGTTTACAGAGCGCACAGAACTCAAGAGCAACTTGTTGAAATGAAACTGTTTCCTGGCTGAGCTTCCCACAACTATCTTGTCACTTTTCAATTTTTTTCTCCATGCAGCACTTCAATATTCCAGAGTGATCTTCTTTAAAAAAAATTGGATCACATTGTTCCCTATTTTAAATCCTTCAATGAATTCCCTTTTTTAAAATGTATTTATTCATTTATTTTTATTTTTTTGGTTGAGCTAGGTTGCTGCGCACAGGTTTTTCTAGTTGAGACGAGTGGGGGCTACTCTCTAGATGCCAATGCATCTCATTGTGGCGGCTTCACTTGTTCAGAGCACAGGCTCGAGGCACGTGGGCTTCAGTAATTGCTGCACAAGGCCTCACTCAGTAGGTTCATGGGCTTAGTTGCTCACAGCATGTGGAATCTTCCCAGACTGGGGATTGAACCCGTGTCCCCTGCCTTGGAAGGTGGATTCCTATCCACTGTATCACCAGGGAAGTTCCCAGTGACTTTGATTACAGGAGATGCTGGATTTATTGAATGAATGCAGTTGACTGATGACAGAACATGCAAACAGTCAGGGAGGCTAAACACAAATCTTGCCCAGGAAGGAGATGGCTCTTGGCACAGCTGAGAGAACGCAATCAGGTGGGCACACCTGGAGCTGGTAGAGTCATCCTCTTTCAGAGCCTCTGCCAAGCCTGAGAGTGGGGCCAGAAGGTTTGTAAGCAGCTGTGTCCCAAAAGTGCAGAAGCACTGACCTCCAAAACTCTAAGGAGAACGAAGGCATTATTGATTCTGCACTCCTGTAATAGCAATGCTGGTTGATCTCTTTTCCCTTAGAAATCTGAATTATATGTTCCAATAGACGACAAGTCTAGGTTTTCCTCTTTTCCTGTAACTGAACATACCTTGTGCTAGACATGTTTCCTTTAGATTACCAGCTGCCTTAAGAGAGTGCCAATTCAAGCCATTGTGTGACTTCAGTAGGATTACATTGATTAACCAACATTAATGCATTATGATGGTTTCTAGGCCAACAGCATGAAATGAGGGGCTTTTAACCAAAAAAGTTATATTTTTGTTCTTTCATTGAAAACAGCCATTTATATAGTTAAAGGCCCCACCCTTCACCATCCTGCTGCTGTCTTTAACAGGCTGGTTCCCTCTTCCTGCACTGTGCTCTCATCTCACTTGCTTTGCCCCATTCTCCCCCTTAATGAAATCCCTTACTACTATACAGTGGAAGTGAGAAGTAGATTCAAGGGACTAGATCTGATAGACAGAGTGCCTAAGGAAGTATGGATGCAGGTTCATGACATTGTACAGGAGGCAGGGATCAAGACCATCCCCAAAAAAAAGAAATGCAAAAAGGCAAAATTGTATGAGGAGGCCTTACAAATAGCTGTGAAAAGAAGAGAAGCAAAAGGCAAAGGAAAAAAGAAAAGATACACCCATTTGAATGCAGAGTTCCAAAGAATAGCAAGGAGAGAGAGGAAAGCCTTCCTCAGTGATCGTGCAAAGAAATAGAGGACAACAATAGAATGGGAAAGACTAGAGATCTCTTCAAGAAAATCAGAGATACCAAGGGAGCATTTCATGCAAAGATGGATTTGATAGAGGACAGAAATGGTATGGACCTAACAGAAGCAGAAGATATTAAGAAGAGGTGGCAAGAATACACAGAAGAACTATACAAAAAAGATCTTCACAATCCAGATAATCACGATGGTGTGATCACTCACCTAGAGCCAGACATCCTGGAATGTGAAGTCAAGTGGGCCTTAGGAAGC